CCCATAAAAGGGTGAAAAAAGAGAAATTAATTTTGGCTGGAAATGGCTTTACAAAGTTGAGTATCACAAGGATAACTTTTATTTCATTTATTTATTTATTTGTGAGGAAGATCGGCCCTGAGCTAACATCTGCCAATCCTCCTCTTTTTTTTGCTGAGGAAGACTGGCCCTGGGCTAACATCCATGCCCATCTTCCTCTACTTTAGATGGGACGCTGCCACTGCATGGCTTGACAAGCAGTGCACTGGTGCGCGCCCGGGGTTCCGAACTGGGGAACCCCGGGCCACTGCAGCGGAGCGCGCGCACTTAACTGCTTGCGCCACCGGGCCGGCCCCCAAGGATAACTTTTAAATAGGGTGGTTTAATTAATTAAAAAAGCAACAATATTAGATTATTGATCTAAGAATACGATTTTCCTAAATTTATATTCTTTATTCATTGCTTTACATTTTGCCTCTTTAAAAATAGCTATAATGTATTCAGAATTTTCAGATTTCATCTCCATGTTTCACATTTGATCCGACAAATAAAATAGCACTTACCTTAATACAAATACCACAGCCAATACAAAGAGTTTCAGAAATCCATGCTATTTTGCTCTGGGGTGTAACCTCTATGCATAATTTTCCTGGCAAAGGAAAAGACAGAATTAAGTCACTTTTCCCGACATTTTAATTTTCTGAACATTTTGATTTAGGCAATTCTGGTTCCAAATTTTCATACATAAGCAGATTTTCAAAAACAAAGGCCACACAAAGAAATATACTTGAGATAATGTCTTAAATCAGTGCTTTATGGGGACAGATTTCTGAATTTATTACTTATATGAATGAATCTTCTTGTACTCATGAGGTAGATGGCTCTAATATGTTTATTTTGTTTACTACTGGAAAAGAAAATATGCTAGGAAAGATACAGGAGATCCTACAATTTTTATTTTTAAGTTGACCTGAATATTTATTTCACAAAATATGCCTTGGAAATGGTAATGTACACCAGAGAAAGGAATGAAATACATTAGCTAGAGCAGTGAAGCTCCAGAAAGCAATGTGGTCATCTACTGTGGAGACAAAATTAAACTTGGAATTAGAGATATTAATAATGGAATTTCTGAATAGCAGATGACATCTAAAGTTTAATATTCAATAAACCTATACCTCACAAGTATATTTAAGGTAACAATTACTTTAACAAAGACCTTAAAGACTACCAATTCGTTAATTCTGAATTGCTGTAAATTTATTTAATCTTGAAAATATAGCAAAATCTCATGAATTGCCATTCTTATTAAGCTCTTCATTCTTTTTTTTTTAAAATGAGAATACTATGAAATACAAACATTGGCAATCCTTTCTCGATGATTTAAAGTAATTATAGGATTTTATAGAACAGTAAGAGTCTCAGTAACTTGAACTCTGGTTTGATTTTAGATTCAATGAACTGTAAAATATATTAATAATACAATTAAAAAAATAGGACCATTTAGTCACAAAGCAATAATAGAAAAAAATCGGGTCTTATCTTTATATTTTAAAGAATATAATGGGGGAAAAAAGTATAGTTAAAGCCGGGAGAACTATGAAGCCAATTTATTTCTTCTAAAACCTTCTCTTATCCTTAAATGATCCACAGAATAGCTTACCCATTCGAACCACAGGGCAACTCTTTTTGCACTCCTGCCGACATTTCTTAGGTTTACATTTGTCGTGGTTGACAATAGCAATTCTTGTCAATTTATCCGCCATAATTCTAAGAAAGCAAGAATATCCAGCTCTTCTATTAAAGAAAAATTAATAAAATTATGGCACAGTCAATCCAATTAATTAAGAGAAATAAGTCACAGGCACAAAAGTTAGACAGGAGAACATAAATTATCACTATATTCAGATATGATTATCTGGAACTAGTAAAAAAAGAAAACCTAGTAAAAGAAATAAAATAGTTTAGCAAGGTTGGGAAAGCAAAATTTTAAGATATAACATTGATCAGAATATTTATATACAGAAAGTAAAAAACATCCTTTTCAATAGTCACAAAAAAGAAAAAGTCTAGGAATCAACTTCACAAGATATACAGACATTTGAGGAAACTTTCAAAACACCACTGAAAGACATAAGAGACCTAAACAAACAATGACATGCTGTCTCGGTTTTTACAATAGAGAATAGTCAATATCAGAGATTTCAACCTTCCCTGAATTTATACATTTAATCCAAACTCAACAGGAAAAAAAATAAACCACACAAACCAAATTTAAAGCTCTTATATAAAAAGAATAGTAGTAGTGATAGCTAGTTAAACCGAAAAAGCAAGGGGAGATGGGGGAACCTACACTTGAGAAATGGAAAAAAATGATATAAGGCCTCAGTAATTAATAGTGACACCAGTGTACGAATACAGACCAATAAAACAGAATAGAAAGACCTGATATGAAAACTAATACATAAGATAAAGATGTTTACTCCTTCCCATAAACTAAGCATTACTTCATGTCTTATCCATCTGACTATAATGACGCCACTGATGGAAACGGCAAATAATTACTAAGGTTGTGACCATCATGTTGACCAACTGGAAAAAGTGAAAACTGCATTTCTCTGGGAATTTGTAATATGGCCAAGATGAATTTATGCTAAGATCATTGAAATGAAAAGGAGACCAAGTAACTATATGTATAGACTGTGCTCACTTTTAAAGCTTTTTAAGTCTTGATGTGTTATTTAACACTAAGGTCAACGTGAACTTAGTATTGGGCTTAGTGATAGACATTAATATTCTTAGAATGGTGATTAAAGTAAATAATTCCAGAAAGTGCCTTAATACTCCAGTTTATTCCAATGTGTAATGAAAGAACCTGAAGCCAAAAGACTATCCATAGACCAAGACATTCTACTGTCTTCTATCAATGACTGCGAGCCTCGATCCTGATTTTTTTTGACAGACTGCTTCCCTTTGTAGGCCTCTCAAGTCTTTCTCACACCCTTCAATATCATTAGGCTTGGAGGGAGGTAAGAGATCTTACTCTTCAATGCTGCTCCCAGACTATTATTTTCTCTTCCTCCTCAAAAACAGTCAGCTTTTGCCTCTCATATCATCCAACTGCTTTGGTCATTTACTGACTATGAGATCACTCCCTGCCATTCTCTGATGATTTTAGCTCTTGGCTAACTTGCACTCTCTCGTTTACAACTTCTGTCATAATTCTTGGTGATATCAATATCAATACGTTCATAGACAATTCTTCTACTAATCGGCTGTCCTCTTTGTTCATTAACCTCTCAACTCCAATGATCTTGTCTTTCACCCTACCTCAGCCACTCATTCCTTTGGTCAAATCCTTGACCTCATCATTACCAATAACGGCAATCTTTCCACAATCTCCATTTCAAACACCCCATCCTCCAACCACTACTCCTATTTTTTCAGCTCACTCCTCTGGTACACAACAATCCAACAACCCTTTGAAAGTCTCCCACCTCCAGACCTACTATCACTATCTCTTGACTCTACCACATTTCCACTGTCCCTCAGCCCTTAGTATCTTCATTTCCCTCCATACCCAGCTAAAATTCCACTGTCAATCATTTACACCCTTAACTACAACCCGGGTTAAACACAATTCTTCTCCTGCACACCTATAGCTGAAAAGGAAGTGAGGCATATATGGAAAGCATTTGCAGTCTAGAGACCAAAATTATTATAAAGCCATGTGAAAGTATTTAAAAGATTGCTGTTAACGAATGACGCCTGATATCACGTGAAATATTCTAACCTATACTTATGGTAGGTTATTAGTCTTATAAAACAACGTAAGTTGGGAGTGGTGTACAACTCTGATTTCAGAGTCTGAAATTGAAGACATTTAGATGGGGCACTAAATTAACATTGATTTCTGTTTTTCCCCTAGCAATTATATTCAACGTTCTTCCTAAAATTTTTTTTTACAAGGGAGAACAAGATTTTTAACTTAAAAAAAAAAAACCCACACAAAACCCCTTTTGGTTCAAGCACAGATAAGAGCCCTTGGTTAACAGTGACAAAACATTATTGTCAGGTAGCTGGTACAGAATGAATATTCTCAGTATATGGGACAAATGTACTGAAGACGGCCACACAAATGCCACTATCATACATGCCTAATTGACAGTCCGGTAGAAGAGAGGGTTAAAAAAAAATAAACCAAGAAACAAACTTTTGACAGGTGTTTCTCACTCATTGACTTTCCCACAAAAAAAAGATGAAAACATGCTTATGTAGTTTATGGGATGTGGGAATTTGCTTTAGTCGTCGTGCCTACAACGAATGAACCACGCAGGGGAAAATCAAGGTATTTTGAGTAAAGACACCACCCTCGATTTCAAGGAGTTTAAGATCTAATAAACGGGAAAATGGGTAAGTCACTTTGAAGAAAAGTGCTGAGCGCTATAAAAGCGCACCAAAAAAGCTCAAGGCGTTCAACTGGGAGATTTCTTGGGATAACTACAGTCACAGCCCAGTACACGCTGCTCTATGAGAACAGCAGAGCGACGTTTGGCCGTCATTTCTATAAAGCCTGGGAATGGACAAGGAGGATTCGATTTCATGGCGGCAAGATGCCATAACTCATTCCATAATCACCAAACGGTGGAAGAACAGGCCACGACTTTCCATCATCAAATACACGCATGTGACAATATACGCATTTTACTGTGCCGGGGGAGAGTAGGGGTGGTAGGGGATGCTCCAAGTTCTGAAGGTGCCTTCCTCTCTAGAAGGTTGAGCTCTAGGGCAGGAGCGGGGTAAAGCAGTGGAGGCGGCGGAGGTTGGATCGCCGAGGAGATGGCATTTAGGTCCACTCTCGCAGCCCCCGGCGGAGGTGGGGGGCAACAGCGCCCCAGAGCCGGGTCAGCTGGAGGGAAAGCGCGAGGCGTCGCCAAGCCCTCGGCGGCGCCCGCGCTCCGGCGGTTCCAGCTGTCCCGCCCGAGCCGGCTGCCACGCGCCGCTGCTGTCTCCACCGCCGCCACCTGAGGCCTAACCAAAGGCTGCCGGAGAATGTCCCCACAGTCTTTAAAACGTGGCAGACCGCAGCTAACGGCCAAACGCCTCCGGGCTATTCACATACCTGGAGAAAACGATCCCCTCGCGGAGGGGAGCGCAGAGGCCAAATCAGCTCTTGCCTTCACTTCTGAGCCACACAGCGTGTTCCTACGGCCACCGGCCAAAATGGCGGTGCCCAGCCACCGCCTCGCGCATGTCGTAGAGACGGAGTGCGCACGCGCGACGGAGAGCGCTGGGCGGAGCCCTGGAGGGAGGTAAGGCTAGAGGGCGAGACCTGACGTCATTGTGCCGCGACTCCAAAGGTCCTTGGAGGAGCCGGGCTGTCCAGAGACGCTGAGTGGGAGTGGCGCCGAGCTGGAGGGGATCCCGAAAAGCTGAGTTGCGGCAAAGCGGGTCTGCAGGCTGTAAGTGCAAGGGCTTTTTCCCAACGTGGAGAATAGTTTTAGCATAAGCAGATGCGTTCTCTTTCCCAATCTCAATCTCCTTTTCCGCTCCCGATTTCCTCGAAGCCGGTGGGTCAGGAGTGGAGCCTTAGCCGTTGCCCATTCTACCGCTTCTAGCAGAGGTGTCAAGCAGGACCAACAGAGTCTGGTTCAGACACTGCTCGCGGTGGCTTTGTCTCCTTGGCTGCTTCTGAACTGTGTGGCCAGGAACCCAGTCTTCTCCGAGCTCGGTGTTTTATCCACTTGGTGGCATTCATTACCAAGTCTGGCAGTTGAGTTCTGCTCCAGTGTAGAGATGGGCCTTTTTCTTTTTTTTTTTTTGGACAATTTTACATTTTTGGACATTTGACAATGACAAGATATTCAGCTTATAGTCATGGCCACAGGTTTAATTGTCTCATCCTAGACCTTACTTAACTTGCAGGTGGCAAATGCTTTAGTTTGTGATTGAACCTGTTCATTCATCCATTTATTCATTCAGTAAATTGCTAATTGAGCATTTAAGTCTCAGGCCATTCCGAGGTTTACAGTCCAGTGGCTCTACTGTTGAGTATCAAGTGCTTGTGTGGAGATTAGGGAACAACTGAGATCTAATAGGAGGTGTCAAGGAGATGGTATATAGAACTGTTGCGCCAGGTTTATAATAGTACGTATAACCGTGTTCAGTAGCTGTAACTTTGCACTACCTAAGCAGTTTTACATGTTGTTCACTATCCAAGAGGTATTTTTTTTCACATTTGCTTGGACTTACCAAGATTAACTAACAAGAGATGTGAAAGGTGAAGTAAACTTTTGGTTTAGAATAGGCCAGTTATTCACTTCTAGACCTTGAAGCCATTTTGCTGACTTTGTCTTCTGTGGTAGGAGCACATATAAATGGAACTTTTGACAACTAGCGGGGAGATGTGATTTTTCTCTGCATCACTCAATAAGTTATTTAAAATGGAGACCAGAGGCTGGACCTTTGGCGTAGTGGTTAAGTTCCTGCACTCTGCTTCTGAGGCCCTGGGTTCGCAGGTTCAGATCCCGGTGCAGACCAAGGCACTGCTTATCAAGCCATGCTGTGGCGGCGTCCCATATAAAGTAGAGGAAGATGGGCACGGATGTTAGCCCAGGGCCAGTCTTCCTCAGCAAAAAGAGGCGGATTGGCAACAGATGTTAGCTCAGGGCTGATATTCCTCACAAAAATAAAAATAAAAAAATAAAATGGAGACCAATAGTTACATATTCCTGGAATAAGAGTACTTCAATCTGACTTTTCTAGGGAAAAAACTCAATTTGAATTAAGAATTTTTACTCATAGAGGTATAGAACTGCATAGCATTGTAGAATTATACATCAAGTCAACTCCTTTGGCAGGAAAGGAAAGAAAGCCCAGACCTGCACAAAGTCTAGGCTAGTTAAAGAGGAGGCTTAAGCTAAATCCCTGATCCTGAGCCATTTAACTAATACTCTGCTGCTTTGTACATCTTGTAAGTCATAATATATTTTAGAAACAGAAACTCAATTCCCAACATTTTTAAATTACAGTGATTGAGTTATATGTTGACTGCCTTTGAGAAATAGGTGATTAATATCAAGGGTATACTAGTGATCCACTTTGCTATTAAATTTTTATTTTTACCTTTTGTAGAAAGATGCTCAGATGCTGTTCTAATGTGGATATTCTTTTTTTCTACATAGACTGTTTTGAAAATGACAACACCAAACAAGACACCTCCTGGTGCTGACCCTAAGCAGTTGGAAAGGACTGGAACAGTACGGGAAATTGGGTCACAAGCTGTTTGGTCACTCTCATCTTGCAAACCAGGTAAAACAAGACAAAAAAGCTGATTGTGTTAACTACTTACAGTTTCCTTGTACACTGGACTGACTTTATATTGTTTTCGTTTAAATGCTTTATTTTAATTCTAAAATAAATTTAATCGGATTTTCATTTGTTATATATCTCTTCCCAGTTTCTTTACTAATATCCACTTCAATTTAACTGCATGTGTCATAACGTTTCCTCTTTATCTTCCTCTATCTCTGCTCTTATTTGGTTAACATTTTTTTGTGGCTATTTCTCCAGATGGGATGAGTAGGTGATACATTTTTTAGTGATTATATACCCCCAAATAACTGTATTTTGCTTTTGGTTGGGATAGAATTCTTGGGTGGTAGTCTTTTTCTCTCGAAAATTTGTGGATGCTATTTCACCATTTCTTTTTTTGTCTTGTTGCAAATAAGAAGGCCTATGATGGTCTCTCCTTTTTTCTAAGTAACTTTTTCTATCTTTCTGGAAGCATTTAAGCTTTTGCTGTCTATTCTTAATGAGTTCAAGCCAGGATATGCCAGGATACATGTGTATCGTTTCTCATCTGTGTAACCTGTAATTTGATGGGCATTTTCAGTCTGTAGACTCAAGCTCAGAGAAAGTTTTTTAGCTTGAGGAACTTTAATTATAATGTTATTGGTTTAGTAGTTGCTTTTCCTTCAGAAACCTCTATTATTTACACATAAGACTCATGTAACCATCTTCCCAACCAAGCCTCTTCTGTTTCACCTTAAGATTCGTTTCTCTCTCTTTTTATGAGTAATTTATTGAGGTATAGTTTACTTACAATAAAACTCACCCTTTTTAGGTGTATAGTTCTGTGAATTTTACCAAACACATACAATCATGTAAGCACTATCACAATCAAATATAGAATATTTCCATCATTCAGAGAAATTCCCTCATGTCCCTTTGTAGTCAATCTTCTGCCCCCATCTCAGGCCTGACAACTCTGCTCTGTTTTGTGTCCCTTTGGTTTTGTCTTTCCCAGAATGCCATATATGAATGTAATCATACTGTATGTAGCTTGTTAGGTTTGGCTTCTTTCACTTAGCGTAATGCATTTGTCCACGCTGTAGTTTGGTTCTTTTTATTGCTGATTACTATTCCACTGTATGGATGTACCAGGTTTGTTTATTTATTCACCAGTTAGTGGACATTTAGATTTGTGGTAGCCAGCTTCCAAAATGGCTCCGGTGATCCTTGTCTCCCAGTATTCATGCCTGTCTGTTGACCCCTCCCACGTTGTGTCAGGGTTGGTCTCTGGGGCCAGTAGAATATGGCAGAAGTAGTGGTATGTGACTTCTGAGACTAAATCATAGAAGACATTGTGGCTCCGCCTTGCTCTTGTTTGGATCACTCACTCTGGGGGAAGCCAGCTGCCATTTTGTGAGGAAACGGGGCCCTGTGGAGAGGTTGGTGTGCAAGGAACCATGGCCTCCTGGCAATAGCCAATGAGGAACCGGGGCCTCCCATCAACAGCCATATGAACAAGTCATCTTATTTTTTTTTTTTTTTTTTTTAATTTTTTGTTTATTGCAGTAACATTGGTTTATAACATTGTAAAAATTTCAGGTGTACATCATTGTACTTCTATTTCTGCATAGATTACATCATGTTCACCACCAAAATACTAATTACAACCCATCACCACACACATGTACCCAATTATCCCTTTCACCCTCCTCCCTCCCCCCTTCTCCTCTGGTAACCACCAATCCAATCTCTGTCCCTATGTGTTTGTTTATTGTTGTTATTATCTACTACTTAATGAAGGAAATCATACGGTATTTGACCTTCTCCCTCTGACTTATTTCACTTTGCATCATGCCCTCAATGTCCATCCATGTTGTCACAAATGGCTGGATTTCATCGTTTCTTATGGCTGAGTAGTATTCCATTGTGTATATATACCACAGTTTTTTTATCCATTCGTCCCTTGATGGGCACTTAGGTTGCTTCCAAGTCTTGGCTATCGTGAATAAGGCTGCAATGAACACAGGGGTGCATGTACCTTTGCAAATTGGTGTTTTCGAGTTCTTTGGATAAATACCCAACAGTGGAATAGCTGGATCATATGGTAGTTCTATCGTTGATTTTTTGAGGAATCTCCATACTGTTTTCCATAGTGGCTGCACCAGTTTGCACTCCCACCAGCAGTGTATGAGAGTTCCCTTCTCTCCACAACCTCTCCAACACATGTTGTTTCCTGTCTTGTTAATTATAGCCATTCTGACGGGCGTGAGGTGATATCTCATTGTAGTTTTGATTTGCATTTCCCTGATAGTTAGTGATTTTGAACATCTTTTCATGTGTCTGTTGGCCATCTGTATATCTTCTTTGGAGAAATGTCTGTTCAGGTCTTTTGCCCATTTTTTAATTGGGTTGGTAGTTTTTTTGTTGTTGAGATGCATGAGTTCTTTATATATTTTGGAGATTAAGCCCTTATCAGATGTATGGTTTGCAAATATCTTCTCCCAATTGTTAGGTTGTCTTTTCGTTTTGTTGATGGTTTCCTTTGCTGTGCAGAAGCTTTTTAGTTTGATGTAGTCCCATTTGTTTATTTTTTCTATTGTTTCTCTTGCCCGGTCAGATGTGGTGTTTGAAAAGATGTTGCTAAGACTGATGTCGAAGAGCGTACTGCCTATGTTTTCTTCTAGAACTTTCACAGTTTCAGGTCTTACATTCAAGTCTTTAATCCATTTCGAGTTAATTTTTGTGTATGGTGTAAGGTAAGAGTCTACTTTCATTTTTTTGCATATGGCTATCCAGTTTTCCCAACACCATTTGTTGAAGAGACTTTCTTTTCCCCATTGTATGTTCTTGGCTCCTTTGTCAAAGATTAGCTGTCCATAGATGTGTGGGTTTATTTCTGGGCTTTCGATTCTATTCCATTGATCTGTGTGTCTGTTTTTGTGCCAGTACCATGCTGTTTTGGTTACTATAGCTTTGTAGTATATTTTGAAATCAGGGAGTGTGATACCTCCAGCTTTGTTCTTTTTTCTCAGGATTCCTTTAGCTATTCGGGGTCTTTTGTTGTTCCATATAAATTTTAGGATTCTTTTGAACAAGTCATCTTAGAATGGATCCTCCAGCCCCAGTCAAGCTTTCAGATAATTGCTTCAGATAACTTGACTGCAAACTCATGAGAGTCCTTGAGCCATACTACCCAGCCAAGCTGCTCTCAAATTCCTGTCCCATAGAAACTGTGCAATAATGCATGTTTGGTGTTTTAAGCTCCTTAGTTTTGGGGTAATTTGTTTTGCAGCAATAGTTATCTAAGATAAGGTTGTTTCCAATATTTGGTGATTATGGATAAAGCTGCTGTAAACATTTATGTGCAAGTTTTTGTGTGGATATGTTTTCATTTTTCTTGGGTAAATACTTAGGAGTGGAATTACTGGGTTCTATTATTTTTGTTTTTTCTTCCCAATCTATACCTTTTATTTCCTTTTTTTGTCTTATTCCGTTAGCTAAGACTTCCGATATGGTGTTGCATAGAGTGGTTTTTCCTTTTACTACTTTAAAGATGTCATTTCATTATCTTCTGGCTTGCATAGTTTCTGAAGAGAAGTCTGCTCTAGTTAATGTGGCTTTTTTTCTGGCTGCCTTTAAGATTTTTAGATTTTTTCAATATGTGTATGTATGTGTGTGTGTATTTAATCCTGCTCGAGAGTCACCGAGATTCTTGGATCTTCTGGTTTGATGTCTTGCATTATTTTATGAAAATTCATGGCCATTATTTCTTAAGTATTTCTTTTGCCCCATTCCTTCTCTGTTGTCATTCTGGGAATCCAATTATACATATGCTAGACCATTTGATTTTGCTAGATCATTTGGTATTGTCTCATAGCTTTTCGGTGCTCTATTTTTTTCACCCTTTTTTTTCTTTTTGAGTTTTGCTTTGGATATTATTTTATTGGCTCAGCTTCAAGTCTACTGCTTCTTTCTTTGGTTTTGTTGAGTCTACTGATGGTTCTGCCTAGGGAATCTTTCATCTCTGAATGGTGTTTTTTATTTATAGCTTTTCCATTTGACTCTTAAAGGAGTTTTCGCCTGTTGAAATTCCCTGTCCATTCCTGCATTTCATCTACCTTTTCCCCTAGATTTTTTAACATATTATCATAGTTATTTAAAGTCCCTATCTGATAGTTTCAATATCTGCCTGTCATCTCTGAGTGTATTTCTATCGATTGCTTTGTCTTTTCATAATATTTGTTTTTTTTTGCTTGTTTGTGTGTCATAATTTTTTATTGAATGCCAAATATCATATGTATATTAGTAGATACTGAGAGAGATGGTATTTACACTTTGAAATGGATACCTCTTTTCTACTATCAGCCATTTATAGTGAAGATTGAGTTAGTTAGGAATTGAGCTGGGTTTGGGTTTTTGTTTTTTTTTTTTTGCTCTGGTTACCTTCAGTACCTCACAGACTTCAGATTCCTCTAAAGATACCCAGTGTTTATGGTGGGGGCTGTTGTGCCAGAGGAGTGTTTTTAGTGTTCTTCCTCCCCTCTTAGTTTTCAGCTATCTCTACCTGTGTGCTTAAGAGGGTGTCTCTCTCCATGCTCTTGCCCTGCCTCCAGCAGTGGAATGCTATGCCTTGTTAATACTCAGTGCAGAGGATGAGAGACAGGGCTTGTTCTCTGTTTTCCTGATCTAGCTTCAGTCTTAGACAGCCCTTGTGTGCCTGGCCTTCAGGGTGGGGCTTTCTCAGCACTTTGGTCCCTCTTGCCTATGACAGCCAAACTCTGCCTTGTGTCTGTGGCTGGTCTTTTGTGGGAGAGAGTTTTCTGTCCCACTCCCAGAGGAAGGACTGTTTTCTGCCTCTCCCCCGGGTGTAGAGGGTTTTTTCTTTTACTTTCTCCCAGCGAGGATGGGTCTGTATCTGTGTCCTGGGAACAGCAGGTTTGATGCTCCTCCCCCAGCAGCTTAAGTCCCTTTTTCTGTAGGAGAGCAAGGTTTGGGAAGGAGGGTGGGGCTTTTTGCTT